TTCGATGATCGATGTTTTCATAATCGATTGATTTTTCACATCACTATGGACAATATATTATATATATATCTTCTGTTTATTATAAGTTTTGAATGGAATAATGGACCCGCCTGCACTATCGTTACGCTGGCGGAATAACATTCTCTAATTTAAGATGAGTATGACCTTCGCTGGCGTATTACTTATTCCCATTCAGTTTTTAAACTGAACTGCCTGGAAACTGACTGGATTTTAAAGAGTTTTCTGGAATTTATCACGATGGTGTTTTCAAGCTGACATGGTACATTATCAAAATCCAGTTAAGTTTATGTACATACTGTTATCACTTTAGGTATTTTGAGAGTAGTGGGGTACAAGATGGCGCCCTATGAACATATCTTATCTTAATCTTAATAATAAATAATAATATTATACACGCGAAAGTTTGTGAGTATGGATGGATGTTTCACGCAAAAAGTACTGAACGGATTCTGATGAAACTTTACAGAAATATAGCTTATACATCAGAATAACATATTATAAATTTTATATTGATTAATTCTAGGAGACTCTTGCCCACACAAAGACTTCAGTTGACATACTAACTGTCTTCTGCGCTTGTTTATGTTCCTGTACACCTGTTTATGTCTGTTTCTAATATATTGTCTGTCTGTCGTACATATATTATTTATCTATACATATATATGACAAACCGAGTATAAATACAGCCCTTACTACAACTGTTAAAAACTCCTTGGTTCACGTAAGTATAATATAATTTTACGTTCCGTGTCATCTTGAACATTAGAAAATAAAGAATTATAAGTTTAAATTTCATAGTGAATACATGAAATATTTTACTTTCCTCTTTTATTAATGCCGTATCCTCGAAGCTAATCGTAATTAATCTAATATATAAAATTCTCGTGTCACAAATTTCATGTTTACATATAACCCTCTAACACTTGACCGATTTTAATGAAAATTTATATGTATATTCAGTAGGTCGGTTTTATAACTATTTTTAAAACCCTAAGTAATAGGGTTTTTAAATTTTCGACATTTTTTTATTTATTATTTTATTATGTTGCATTAAAGAAATTCACCCTTCTACCACCAACCCCTATTTTTTAATACTAAAAATATTGTTGATTAAAATCACTATTAAAACAATAATATATATATATATATTGCGTTTGCTGTACAGTCCAATACCATGTAAGAATATGTTATCTGTGGCAATACTAACAATAGTGGTTAAAGCAACCCAGTCCACACAAGCAGCACAGCAATAAAGTAATAATATTAACATTGCAGTGATTTTACACTAACAAGATAAGCGAAGTATTACGTCCCAGTAGCAATAGATAAGGCTGCTGTAGTTACTATGCTAGTATTGTCATGATTAGTAAGCACTATTTATTAATAAGAACACATCACATGATGATGATGATGATGATGATGATGCACTATTGTATTAGGCTAAGACCTGTAAAAATAGTTGTAAGTGTGAAAAAATAAAATAAAATACTTTTCAGCACGGCTCATCGAGGTTACTTGTGACCCTACAGCTGGTAGCTACTTTGCCCAGAGGCTAAGTATGGCCATACAAAGAGGCAACGCTGCCAGTATCTTGGGTACGCTGCCTCGATGTGCCGCGTTGATTACAATGATTGTTTGTATTAATGTATTATGTAAATTTCCTGATGTAGAAATAATTATTTTATAATGTAGATCATATTTAGTCCAACTTTTTGAAGCCAATGTCATGTGCATATGTTGTCTAGGACCCATAACACAAGCTTTAGCTAGCTTAACTTGGATCTAGATGGCGCTGTGTGAATTGTCCTGAGATTATTATTATTATTATTATTATATTCTCTGAAGCAGTGTCTGCAGATGTTCAAGCCATATTTGCGGATAAGTCCGTATCTGTTTGAGCGGGCTCGGCATGAACGAGATCCTTGGCCGTACGAGGATGGGAGTACTAAATGTTTGCGTGACCCATTGCGAAATTATTACTTACGCTAAAAAATTCACAGAAACAAAGATAAAGGCCGAAATGGCGATTACACAGATTATAACTGAAGATTATTTTTTAATTACCTTGCTCTTTTCTTATGTATGTTATGATTTTAATGCATTATGTTATTTCTATTTATGTGATATAATAATTTATATGCTGCTGTAAGCATCGACCTAGCTGTGTTGTGATGTGTGATGTAATAGATATTATTCTATTCTATTCTATTTTATAAGAATCGCACAGCTAGTGTAGCGTTGGGCCGACCACTTATTATTTATTTATTCATTTATTTAATTAACACAATATAAACTTACAGGTAATTGCCAACAGCTTTATATTTTAAAACTATTAAACTTTACTATATACACTTCTTAAACTTTTCATTGCCAAAATATTCTTATTTTATTTATATGGAAATCAGCGCTTCTGTAAAAAAATAAATTTAATAATTGTAATGCTCGCATAGTGGGAGCATGTTATATTACTATTATTAGCATGGCCTATGTATACAGCCACAGTTTCAAATAGTCAGACCCGACGACGGGTGACACTTCTCACGTAATTCTGTGGGATATTAAAACCTATACGTTCTACAACAGCGGGATTACCTATCTGGTTGCGCAGCAGCAAACAGTAATGGACAGCTAAGTAGGACAATACAGTTTAACAGGACGCAGTAATAGAGATGTAGTGTAGTGTAGTGTAGTGTAGTGAAAATAGGTAAAATGAAGTTCTAGTAATTAAAATAAATACAGGACACTAGGGCATGTACTGGGACTGTTCGCACCTCTACTGTAATTCAGTAACCCTATCTAACCCTTCAACCAAAGCAACCCAAATAGGGTAGAACAATATTTCTCAAATCAAATCAAAAATAAATTATTTATGTAGGACGTTTTAGCCACATATGAACGTAAAATTTTTGTATTAATATTTTGTCCCTACCGTCCAGTTCAGTAACAAATTCAATTGAGAGAGTCATTCCATTTACTTAAACATCAAATGATAAATTTGAAGTTTGGTCGCCGAACAGTAAACATGCTTTCAAGCTATATCCGAACTCTATCCAATGTCTGATGATGCCTCGTTCAGAGGCGAAATACGCGTACTGGTTGGACATAAAGTAACTGTCGGAATTTGATCACCATTAGAAAAGGTCAAAAATAATCATTCACAATATCTTTATTCATGTAGGCCTATTACAGACTCTTAGGATATATCAAATCTACCATCAGTTTGGAATGATTTCGAGATGAGAAGAACTGACAAGAAACTTAGCTCGTATTCTTTTCAAATAAATGCTGTAGGTAAGTTTTACAATATGTGTACATGTTTACAATAATACAAATTCTGTTTAAATTCAAAATTTTGGTCGTAACAGTAGTCAAGGTTCCGCACTGGTTTTTTGTACATGCTAATTATAGCGGAATTGAACAAAATAATATAAATCTGCCATCATGTAGTGAAACGAACTTTTTCAAAATAATGCCTAATTCGATAAAAAATATATAAAATTGGTGAAACAGAGATGACGCAAATTACTTTTTATAAAGTCTCTCGGTAACTCGGTACAAATCGTTAGTATTGGGAATTAGCCACCGTCCAGACTCCATTGCTAGCATTCGTCTATACACTTACCGTTCTAGTGACACTGGTGGCATGAATTCACACCAATTGAGGTACTCACGTCCTCTCACTCCGTCTATCTGGGCCTACCAATAATTTATTTATCAATTCCTTATCGAAAATATTGCTCGCAACGTCCGTTTGTCCGTATTAACTAGTGATTTATTTATATCTTTAACCTTTTGAACTCCACTGCCGGTTTGGCGATTATGGTTTTTAATGGCCTAATTTTTACATGTCTGTTTAGAAAGTCTGTTGCGTCTGTGCGTCGTGATATTCTTATTATGGGACGATTTTAATTACGGTGAAGTTTAAAAACAATTGCATTTTTACTACTATTAATACCATTACTATTACTTACCTTACCTTTTTTACTACTAATAATTTATCTTTCCGACTGCGTAGACAATTTCACTATTTATATATAAATAATTCTGACCTCACACTCTTTGACTGACTGGGACCCTTATTTTTATACCTCACTCCCTTAACTAGGGCCTAATTCCAGTGCGTGTATAGACAGTCTATACAGGTTCTATATCTAGGTTCAGCTGATTTTCTTAGTCGATTATTCTATGCGATTCCGATCTGCATTTTTTAAAAGATCAAAGTTATGTTTATTACAAACGTGTTTTACTACCTTTTTGTAAAATTGAGGGCTTTTTAATGTTACTGGATGGCAACCAAAGTAACCGATTACGAACATCATGTCGTCATATAATTAAATGGACGGTAGGGAAAAATAATAATACAAAAAAATTACGTTCATAAGCGGCTAAAAGGTCCGACATGACTAAATGATTTTTGATTTGATTTGATGCATATATTACCGTCTCATAATAAAATTCCATGTGTTGTTATGAGAACTAACGTCATGCCTCCATGCCCTGTGATTCCATAGAGAAATCTTATTCTTTAATTGAAATACCAAATTCAAGATATTTTCGGCAGAAATAGGTAGGTAAGGGATACCCATGCATACAACTTTATTGGTAAACTTTGTTCTTAGGAAAGTTGCCCGACAAAGTGATCTACACTGAGAGGTAAACCTCTACTTCTCCGAAAAACTGCCATGTCTAATTTCAGCTGAATTCATCACAGTAGACTATTTTTTTTTTTTTTTTATTGGGTTGTTTGGGCTATTGTCAGATGTGTAGCACCTGTAGCACTGCGACCTACATAGATCTATTGTGCTCGCCCTTTTCAGAGTTCGCTACCTAACAGTAGACTAACCTGACTTCATTTTAAGATTCTTAAAATTGCAAAAATCGTACCAGCAAATAAACAGAGGTCAAATAACCGAAACTCCTCAATAAAAAATACCACCGGCGATTGTAGAATCAGCATTCATAAAAAAATAACAACTTACCGATTCGTTTAACGTTAAATTCGATGATATCTTAAATACTTCGGTACTGTCCGTCACTGATACACCTTTAGTAACACAATCAAGTGCGCCCATCGTTTCACTAAACTGTATATATTAAGCGTTAAGTTAACATAAACAATATTTTTTTCACGACGTGTGTCTGTCCGTGACAGCGCGAAGTATTACTGGCTGCGTGTGCGCATCGTAGTGTGCTACTAACGTTTGCTATCATCATAAATAACTAGATGTGACACGAGATGAGATTATGGACCGATGAATCATTGATGAAATGGGCATTGAAAGTGTGCGTAGATAATCTTAAGTTATCACTTATCATGTCGAATATCAATTGTTTTTGTGTATTATAATACTCCCCACTTGTGATGATGAAGATGATAATATTGATGATATGTATAAAGTATTTGAATAAACAGCATGTGCCGATAGAAATCAAGAATTAACCTCATAATTGAGAATAAATTTTGTATCCTAAATTACAATTGTAATTCAGGATAAAAATATTATAATTAAATTTGCACTCTATGAAACATTAACAATTTCTTCTTTCGCGCGCGGTACTCTTAGACTGTTGCCTTCTGTGTCTAATAAATCCGATTTTGGTCACTCTTATAATAATAATATACACAATTCACACAGCGCCATCTAGTTTCAAGTTAAGTAGAGTTTGTGTTATGGGTACTAAACAACTGATAGATATAATTAGATACATATATTATACAGACATACATAAAACATAGGAAACAGCCGTATAACACAAAAACTCATTCTCATGAATACAAATGTTTGTGCTGTGCGAGGAATCAAACCCGCAATGATAGGAAGTAAAGTGGTGTTTTAAACCGCTAGATCATCAGACCGCCGCCACATCATCATTAGACCGCTACATCATCAAAGATATCATTATAATAATGAAAATTAACCGTTAGAATGCTACACGGTGAAAAAGTGCTGCGAGTTTTAGTATGTATTTGGTGCCCCGTGAAACTGATATTTGTCTAAATGAGTCTTTTTATTTACGACATTTTTTTTTCCTTTTTATAGTAAATAATCAAAATATATACAGAAATTCTCATACATTTTTTCTAAAACTGTTTATCACTAAAACTGTTAAAATTTAAACTCTATGACACATCCAGCAATACCTGTTGATCTATAGGATATGCTCACTTAAATATACAAATCTTGTATGAATCACACGTGTGTGCTGGCTATGGTATACATTGAGCCATGAGCCAATGACATACAACGTTATGTCAGTTGTGGGTCACGACGATATGACTCGTAGAAGCCTGTTTGAGAATTAGAATGTAATCTAGCTCCTGCACTAGATTAGTTGTAGATCAAGAATTAAGTTAAGACGGAGCTCCATATATTATAACAAAACCCATTGTTCTATAAATGTGTACTAAACTGTAATGTTTGGAAAGTGTGGGTATCTTATATTTATACCGTTTAGTGGAAATAGTGAAACATTTGAAGAGATGTAACAAAATATTTGCAAAGAATAAAAATAAAAGACAGAACTATTTATATTATTATTTATTTATTATTATTTATTTATATTATTAACCGGGTTTTAACATGAATAATTTTTCGACAAATGAAGGTTTACCTCTCAAAAATCATTTTTTCTAAAAATAACAGAACTATTACTGTAACTACCATATAGTAATTTTAAGTAGCTGTGACGTGGTCGAGTGGAATGAGTACTCATGCTCACTAAAATGTCCAGACTTGAGGCGGCGTGGTGGGCCGGGTCATTGGGCTCCCTAAAATATGGTCGAGCGCAGTGATGGCTGGCTCATCCGTCATAGTCGTGAACGGGTGCTGCTTGTAGGGACTGGTCTGCTCTTATCACTATGACTGATTGAATCTTATTGTATATTTATATTTGACCCAAAAATTAGTGCTGGTTGGTAGTTTGTATTCACACGGTTCGACTTGTAAATGTAAACTTACAAGGATTGTTTAGAAGAGCAACACACAAGTTTCTTGCTCGTTCTTCTTGTGATGAGACAGCTTTCCGAACGAGCGGTAGATAAAAAAAATTGTTATGACTATTCAAAAGTGCTTAAATTAAGTTTATTTGAATAAATGATTTTCTATTCTATTAAACACCACCAAACGCCGTAAACTGCTGCACCTGGGTCGTATAATGCGGAATGAAAAATATAGGATTCTGCAATTAATTACACAGGGAAAAATCCAGGATTGCCAAAGATCAGGCAGACGTTGTACTTCTTGGTTGAAAAACCTTAGGCAGTGTTTCTGCATGAGCACCAGATTTCTTTTCAGGACCGCCGTGGACAAAATAAAGATTGCTATAATGATCGCCAACCTTCGATAGGCGATGGCATCTACAGAAGAAGAATGGTAACTTAAGACGAGATGTCTCAAACAAAACTATAATTTTAACTCTAATACTGGTTGCATATATTTTTTGTTTCATAGTTGTATTATTTAGGTATATATTTATATATGTTTGTTAAATACTAGCTATACACGCAATTTCGCGTGAAATTTAACTTTATTTTTCTAAAATAAAGGTAGTCTAAGTTACTCCTTATTACATCAGCTACCTACCGATAAAAGTCCCGACAAAATCGGTCCAGCCATTTCAGAGATTAGCCGGAACAAACAGACATAAAAATTGTAAAAAATGTTAGTTTGGTGTATGTACCGTACCTACCGTATTTATATTCATATGCATGTAGTAGGAAAAGGTTATTTCAATATTACAAACAGACACTCCAATTTTATTTATATATATAGATGTATAGATTTAATATAAACTGTGTAAAACAGAAATTGCGTTGTTTTCTGAAATAAGCAATTATAATTAATAAACTTTTTTCAGGCAATAATTCTACACTAAATACTGATCAGTTTATATTTTGTCAAATTTTTATAATGACCTCTTATAATGTGCACGATTAATGACGTAAATATGTGCGTGATGAAGTGTATTTTGAGGGTATGGTTTTACGGCTTCTTTTTAATTGTAATGATCTGTCTTGAGGTTTTTGTTGGTCTGCGTCGTTTGAGTAATTAGTTATACAAATTGACGCATTTCTATCCGTTTGTATTAGATAAAAATTACATAAGTATATATATTTTTAATACTATTTAATGATACGAAGGCTTAGTGGTTTCTCATTTACTGACTGACTTTAAATTATCTTTGCTATAAACTCGTAAACAGAGCAATCTAATACCTCATATGTTTCTATCGAATACTTACCTGATTTTATACATAACTGGCTACTCGCCCCGGCTTCGCACGGCTGTACATATATTATATATATAAACCTTCCTCTTGAATCACTCTATGTATTAAAAGGACCGCTTCAAAATCCGTTGCGTATTTTTAAATATTTAAGCATACATAAGGACGGACAATGATATGTTAAGAATGCCCACCTCACTTATTTAGCAGTTTAGCTTCTGATGGTTACGGATTCGATTCTTCGCACAGTAAAAACCATTTGCATTGATAAGTATTATTGTTTATATTGGTCTGGGTATTTCGTATGAATATGTATGCATTTGCAAACAACACTAGCTGTGGCAAGGACTAGTCTAACATGGGACTAGATGGAGCTGTGTGAATTGTCCCGAGTAGCTATATGTATACATATAAATAGAATTGGAGTGTCTGTTTGTAATATTGAAATAACTGTTTTTTACTATATGCATATGAATATAAATAGGGTACATACACCAAAATAACATTTTTACAATTTTTGTCTGTCCGTCTGTTTATTCCGGTTAATCTCTGAAATGGCTGAACCGATTTTGACGGGACTTTTATCGGCAGGTAGCAGATGTAAGAAGGAGTAACTTAAACTACTTTCAATTTAGAAAAATAAAGTTAAATTCCACGCGAACGAAGTCGCGGGTACAGCTAGTTGTTAATATAATTTGAAAGCCATGTCATTTAAAATACAGGCTGTATATAAAATCGCTTTATCCTCTTATACCTAAGTATCGACGTAGGCATTCAAAAGACTTATTACAATTCGTTATGTGGCGCCTTCTCGATGACTCACAGCACTTCAAACGTACATATGTAATATGTATGTACATATTTACTTTCTATCTCATGACTCAACCTGTATGGCATTTGCAAAAGTATACAACTGGTTTTTTACCGCGAGTTCGCTTATTTGAACTTTAATTAAGTTTTCTCAAAAAGCATATTACCGAAATTGTCTTGGCTCAGTGGTTAATTTAGAAAATTCTAGATTTCAAAGGTTGAATATTGGCAATACACAAAAATATTAGGTAACTCTACTATAGTTGTAACTACCGGTAGGAAACCAAATTAATTCGTAAGCTCGTTCAATCTTAATATAATATTATAAACGACAAAATTTGTGAGTATGGATGGACTTTTGTTACTCTTTCACGAAAATACTAATGTACTGTACGGATTTTGATGAAACTTCACAGTAATATAGCTTATACATCAGAAGAATAGATAGGCTATAAATTTCATGCCGGTTAAACCGCAGGCACAGCTAGTATAATACAAATAAATACCCATAGATAGACATAATACATCTATCTACATCTAGCCTTAATCGAAGCAGATGTCACTACAGCAGTGCACTACATAACTTAAAATATGCCTAAATTCACTCACTTCTATAAATAAATGCCTATATATATAAATAAATCCGGCCCCCTTGTAATATATATATATGAATATTACTGTGACAATATACTGCATATACATAATACATATAAATGATCACTGGATCTGTAATTTGTCGGATTACAAGATACCTTTTGTAAAAAACAAAACACCCTTGCACTCTATAATAATACGATGGTCCGACACTGCCCTGCAAAATGATTGTCGGACTACCGGGGGTCCACTGTATATGTATAAAATAGAAGAATCATCATTGGATCTATAAATACCTTTTGTAAAAAAATTGAATGACAATTTATTCACTGCTGAAAATGAGGGGCCTGTAATGTATATAAAAAACAATTGGATCTATAATTTGTCCCTTCAGAAATTTGTTAGAAACTTTTCGTTTTTTATCGTACGCAGATAGTATGGTATGGTACTCAATATAAAAAAATAAAAATAAAAAAAAAAAGTAAAAGTTGGCAACTTTATGACAGGTGTCTTTTAAGAATATTTTGTTAACATTAAAGTTGAAATGGACTTGTTTTTTGTGAAATTTAATATTTATATTCTAACCTCTACTTTTAGTTTTTTTGAAATGAATTTGCTCAATATAAAAAAATAAAAATATATTCTTATGACTGTCTTTTAAGAACAATAAATTAAGTGAAATATAATATTTATATCGATATAGTTGTATCTGTAATAAATAGGGCAAAGGAAATATTGGGAATTCGGCAAACGTTACGACAATTGGCCCGTTAGTACCTAGTTAGATAATTAACCTAATCTTTACATAGTATAAAATGAACTTGCTTTCGCGGTCTATTGATCTTTTAAACTACGCAACGGATTTTAATGCTCTTTTTAGAAAGAAAGAAAGAAAGGAAGAAAATTGTTTATTTGGTACACTGAAAATAATTTTTAAAATTTAATTTACATTTTATATTAATAATTAGAGTACCAACTAGGTCTCCGCTCAGCAATAGATAGAGTGATTCAAGAGGTAAGTTTGTATGTATAGACATCCTTACCTGGTAAATAATATATTTGCCTTAACGACTCTCTTCCCAAATAGGGTAGTCATTTGTCAGACCATTGGCATAAACATCTGGCTTTGAAGTTTGCCGACAGCCACCTAAGCTATCCGAGCTCTATTCAATGTCTGATGATGCCTCGTTTAGAAGCGAAACATGTGTCGCAATTACTGTGTAGACTGTATAACGGTCGGAATTTGATCACCAATAGAGAAAGATGAAGGACTAACTCTCATACAAAACAACTTGTGAGCAAGAGATTTTTTTGCGGAAAAACAGTTTATCTTGTTTAAAATAAAAACTATTGGTTATTATATACATCTGAATTGTACTATTTATGTGCGTATTTAGTATAATGTATATTGGAAAATTCGAGTCTTAAATCAGTCCCGTTTTCTTATACGAATCAAAAATATATTTTATAAGACCAATCTTTGAGATTTTTTTCTCTGCTACAAAAGTGAATCAATCATGTAACGAGAACTGTCAATATGATGTCAAAGATCTGAAAAATGAAATACCTAAATATCAGCCCCGAATGTTTTGTAATTGCTGAGAAAAGTTAAGGTATCTGAGGTCAATATTTGCGATGCGTCGCCTTAACGCTTCCAGTAGGTTCCAGTAGGTGGTGGTCAGGTTTCCGCACTGAATATTTGTGGTCTCACACTTGCTTACTATATGGTAGCAGAATTAACAGTACTAATGGTCGCCCAGTGGTCGAAAATCGACTATAATAAAAGATACAAAAAGATATTTAAACCTGCAATAAAAATTAAACAAAAGAATGCGCGCTGGTTATCACCTCACCACTGTTGCATTATATATGAGGTGATGAAGTGTCGCTACATAATTTATTGTTTATTGTAGAGACTAGGTGAAATAAGTGTACTATTTATTAACAGTACATCTTAAAATAGGCTTATTAGTAACGCGTACATTCGACGCGGAGTCGGAACGTAGACTGATTTTACACTTAACTTAAATCAAATCTATGTTATCTGGAGAGGTAAACTAATGAGAGTGTGCCTGCCAAGTGTTGACAGAAATATTACAAGTGTAGGCACAAGAGTTTATATGCGTGTATGTGACACATACGTGGTACATGGTGGTGTATAATGTTTTTTTTATTGATTTAATGTTATTTATGTAATATATCATAATTAATAAAATATTAGCATTCTGCACTTTATATAAACTTAAAATGTGCGAAGTATCATACTTCTCCGTTCGCACAATTTTCGTAAAAAGGCGTACAAAATTTTTGATTCACGTAATATATAAGTAATATACATAGTAATGTTCTATAAAATAAAAGATTTTTTTTAAATAAAAGTAGCCTAAGTTACTCCTTATTACATCAGCTACCTGCCAAAAAAAGTCCCGTCAAAATCGGTCCAGCCATTTCAGAGATTAGCCGGAACAAACAGACCGACAGACAGACAGACAAAAATATTAAAAAGTGGTTTTTTGGTGTATGTACCGTATTTATATTCATATGCATGTAGTAAAAGGTTATTTCAATATTACAAACAGACACTCCAATTTTATTTACATGTATATCTATACATATAAATAAAATTACTTTAATACTTATAAATAAAATTACTATAATAATAAAATTACTTAATTAATACATCTGTATAGATAATATAAAACCATTAAATTTGTTACAGAAAGTCGTGACATCCTAGCATCACAGCCGAAACTATCTCTGCACAGTCTACGCAGTCCCCTTGTGGTCACAAGCCATAAGTTCATAGCAGATGCCATAGAGAAGAAATGGTGTCTCACAAACACCTTCATGTATATTCTCAAATATGTGGGAGACTCGAAGGATGAGAGCTCTAATTTTTATTATTTTGAGGTTAGTTATTCAAAGGATTTGGTACTTTTCGGTCTACTCAATGCTTGTTCTAATTCAAATTCAAAATATCTTTATTCATGTAGGTCTATTACAGACTGTCATGATTTGTCAAATCTACCGTCAGTTCGGAATGATTTCGAGATGAGGAGAACTGACGAGAAACTCAGATCGCAATCTTTTCAAATAAATGTACATTTTTACGATAATACACAGTCATTAACTTTCAAATTTAGTAGAATAGAGTGACCACCAGCATATGCTATTGCAAAAAATAAAAAATCTAATTACAGCTTACGGCCTCTTATGTACATACATAATATGGTGTTTAAGTAACATAGAGTACGTGAAGCTAAATTTTATTCCACTTGCCGTCAAATCTGTCAGCTGTTTACTATTCCATTCACGTTACCATCAATTCGGAACCAAAAAGATAAAGGCCAAGACTTTGATCATCTTAAATAGAGCCTCTTTTTACAGGCCGTGTTCAGCCAGCCGACAGCAAGCTACCCGATCTCACAAGCAACCGTTTCAGTATTCTTCAGAATAGAAGACAAACATATAGAACCCGTGGAACTAAAAGGAGTGCCATTGGTAATTTATTTATTCTGTATTAATACTGTTTCCTTCGACTTCGTCTGCTTTTTTTGAGATAAAAGATAGCCTATTGTCTTCGTGATACAATTAATCTTCATTAACTCTCATTTAGTATTTAAGGTAAGAAGCCTGGTCGAAATATCTCCTTTGGAAAGTTTACACTCTTTCCCGAGGAGATAAAAACGATCGCTCCTAAGAATATCCTTCAATTCTTGTCCCTGACGGGTCTAGGTAGCGAACTCTGAAAAGGGCGAGCACAATAGATCTATGTAGGTCGCAGTGCTACAGGTGCTGCACATCTGACAATAGCCCAAACAACCCAATAAAAAAAAAAAAAGAAGCCTGGTATTTAATATCCGCGGATGTCATATATGTAATGCAAATATAGACGGTTTTTTCAATAACATAAAAAACCGTCTATTTGCATTACGTAGCATTTAGATGACAGACATATACGTACAAAAATATTTTCCGCAGGTACGCTTTTTTAATCCCTTTCTAACAGTGAAGGAATTTTTAAAATCGAATCAGCAGAATCGAAGATTATACAAAATTTACCTAATTACTAATGCATAAATTACCCGAACAAACAAATATACAAAATTTACGTCTTTAAAATTAATATTATTACCCCCCCCCCCCCCCCCCCCCCTAATAATATTAATGGGGACTGATGATCTCATTACTAGCAATGTACCATGTCAGTGTACACATGTGTAACCATCGTGATAAAATCTTGGTGAATTTGTGTGACATTGTGACAAATTCCTGACCTCTAGTGCTGGATGATGAGATGAACTCTTATCATCCTGCACTAGTGCTCCGACAGCGTAAACCATTAACGCAGGTGGGTGCACCATTCCATTATCATCCATAAAATAAAAAAATGTATATTATTAGTACAGTACTATAGATTATGCACCCGTGTGATGGTGGGGCGTGGTGTTAGTTGTTAATAACTTAATTAGGACATAATTGTATTGTATTTTGACGTACTAAATGTATAATTAATTTGTTATTTGCCGCAATTATCGGTAAGTGTTAAGGTAATTTATGAATCATTCTGTGGCCAGTTCTATACTTTATTACCTATTATGCAGTTATAATAGAATTTTCCTAATAAGAACATCACATATGTCACGTACACCATCAAATCAAATCAAACCCAATTATGTCATGTATTTATATGATACTAGCTATCCCGGCAAACGTTGTTGTGCTATATAATTTAAAATCGCTATTAAAAATAGGGGTTAATAGGATGGAAAGGGATTGTTAGTAATGTGGATTGATAACCCCATTGCTAGCAATGTACCATGTCAGGTCGACCTCCACGCGGTTCCCCCTGGAAACCATCGTGTTAAATTCCTGGTGAATTTGTCACGATGGGCTAACTGACCTCACCTCATGCTCATCTTATCATCCTCCACTGGTGCCCCGCCAGCGTAAACCGTTAACGCAGGCGGGTGCACCATTCCATTATCATCCACAAAAAAAAAATAGGGGTTAATACTAGAAGGGTGAAAATTTAGATTTAAAGAGCAACACACAAGTTTCTTGCTTGTTCTTCTTGTGATGAGACAGTATTCCGAATGAGCGGTAGATTAAAAAAAAAATGTTATGACTATTCAAAAGTGCTTCAATGTAAGTTTATTTGAATAAATGATTTTCTATTCTTTTTTCTATTCTACGGTTGTATGTATTTTTCAATCCTAAATAATAATAAAATATTATGTCAAATAAATAAAAAAAATATATTTAGGGGTGGATATCCCTTACCACTTAGGGGTATGAAAAATAAATAGTAGTCGATTCTCTAGATAGGTCCCATTAAAATCGGTCTAAATGTTATTTTGGTGTATGTACATATTTATATTCATATGCATGCACTTCAATTTTATTTATATGTATAGACATATCGACAATCACTTTACAACTTAGTTCGAGAAAAAGAACAAGAAATGGCTTCAAAACTGCAACTAATGATATTTTTATATCACAATGGTGGCAATCAAACATACGGCCCATCTGATGGTTACTGGATACCGTATGGAAACAACAGAGGAGGCATGAGTAGTATCACGGGTATCACATGATAACGTGATGTCCGTAGTACTGTGCTATAGTGCTATGTATTCATTTTCAATATTGACGACCTCGGTGGTCTAGAGGTCTAGCACACCGCTTTACGACCGATGGTCGCGGGTTCGATTCCTCGCACGGCACAAACATTTGTATTCATGAGTATGATTGCTTGTATCGGTCTGGGTGTTTTCTATGTATATTATGTATGTATTTACGAAAAAAATTATCTATGTATTTGTATCAGTTATCTAGACCCATAAAACAAGCTTTAGCTAACTTAACTTGAGGTCTAGATAGCGCTGTGTGAATTGTCCTGAGATTATTATTATTATTATAAGGTGTATAGACGACGGCTGCCACTTACCATCAGGTCAGTCAGTCAGTCAGTCAGGCTTTTTTGCCTTCAGTTACGAAATGAATTATATACAACCACATAATATTGTAAAGAATGATAAGATGGGGAGACGAGTCAGGTCAGTTAGCACAACGTAGCAAATTTTTCAGAGGGAACCGCGTGGAGGTCAACCTGACGTAGTACATTGCTAGCAATGGGGTCATCTATTTACATTACTAACAATTCCCTTCCTCCGATCGGATAGTATTATACCGTAAATTGTATTATGAGAATGGGCTGTGTTTTATCGTAAAAAAGCAGACAGATTCGAGGGTCATAGCTAGTATATATATATATATATATATATATATATATATATATATATATATAAGTAGTATGTATATATTTACCATTGTATTATGAGAATCAATATGAGCTGTCTATTATCTTAAAAAGCAGACGGCTTCGCGGGTCATAAGTAGTATGTACTTATTTACCAGATGACATTCAGAATCGAAGGGCAACGCACAGATCACGATGTACGCTACGTCACCCTCACAGCTGACTGGATCCTGGCAGTTCTCAAGATGAAGCTCAAGTTGTATCAGAGGATAGAAAGCATCAAGCTGTTCTGATTGGATTTACCCTTCTATCAGATTTATCCACTTATCGAAGGAAAGACAAATCATCATTACATAGTATAAAACTTAACTAAAGATTTTGAAGCTGTTTTTTTTAATAGACAGAGTAATTCAAGAGGAAGATTTATAAATATAATACATGTACATCTGTGCAAAACCTGGGCGAGTAGCTAGTTCTGTATATAATATAAATGATTTTGACTTTAGTAAAATGTAATTTTGTAAATTAATTAATAGTAGTAATAATCATATTTTATAATTAAATTCCTAGTAAAATATAATCATTGTTGTTATAAAAAGTTATATAAAATTACACGTAACTACCACATCAAACGAGTCATCAGCTTCTATGTCTGTCTTTCTGATAAAAAAATAAGTAAAAATAACTTATGTTTATACACATTTATGTATTAGTATACTAAAATGTTTGTGATAGAAAAAGCAATTAATAAAATAGTGAGTTAATTAAATAACGAGATTCGTATCATTTTGCTCATTTTATTTATGAATCATAGATTTAAGTTCAAGGAAATAAATTATTATGTTTTGAAAGAATTCCGATGAGATAAAAACCCATTATGTTAATTCGAATCGTAGAAATATTTTAAACATGAGTTTATGATGTCCAATGGTGTTTGTGAAGCAGAAATGAACTAGTTTTAGTTGTATATTAGTTGATTAAATATATTCTAATAATATTTCGCTATTTTCTTATTTTATTACTTTCTTGAGATCCTTCTCCTGACAATGATAAATACAACAGAAAAAGAACTAGCGAAATCGGTAAAGCCGTTCACGCGTGATGCCCGTGAAGAAAATAGGGATTCACTTATATTTACATATACTACCTGATCCGGTAAACGTTGTTTGCTTTATAAATAAAATTGCTTTAAAAAAATGGAGGTATTAAATTAAAGACGAATCATAAAATATAAAAAAAGAGTGACCCACCTCAAACAACATCAGTTTTTAGGGTGGGTCACTTTGAGGTATAAAACATAGATAATAACCTAATCCCAAATCAACCGAATATGCATATAAAATTTCATCAGTAGCTTAAGATTCCATCACGGACAAAAAACGTGACACGAACTTTTTATATATGTAAAAAAGTTCGTTAAGATTATCCACATTCATTCATAACTTAGAGCAGCGCTCTTGTGGATGGAGCTCTTACCTGCTTCAAGATTATCGACAGAAGGTAAAATTATGTATTTTCGTTTCCTATTGTAACAAAGGAAAATTGATATTAAAAACCGAAAGAACTATATAAAATATGCATAAATAATTGATTCTTTGTTCCTGTCATAGAGATGTAGATACCCCATGAATCATTGAATACATTATCCTCGTCAGTTCAGCGTCGAACTGACTTTCTCTATAATGCATAATACCTTATTTGAATTGCAAATGTGTTGTTGCGATTCGGTCACGTTTTTTTTGCATTGCGTGATCATGTATTTATACATTGAGATGCAGGTTTGATATTTTCAAACCGCTTTAAAATAAAAAAATATACTTATTGTATTCTATGGAACCTCTTTTATCTATTCCACGTCCAATTCAAACGGGGACCGAAATTAAGACGGCCTAAGCTGAGGTTCGAAACCGTAGAACTCTCATACTAAAATCGTATCCGTTAGGTTGGCCAGGGAGTTGGCCAGCCACTCAATAAGTTTTTCCTTTGGTTTGGTGTGCTATCTGCACTCGCACCCTATCGTTCGATGAAGCTCTAAAGGCCAGCTACGGCCAACAGCATTAGACTAGTTCGATAAAAACTCTTCTTTATTTTTAATTTTTGCACTTATTTATATGGAAAAAGTTACAGTATCACCAAAGTTAACGTAATATTTACTACTGAGTAACATGTCCTGTTTTTAGGGCTTTAAAGGCCAGCGACATTAGTGGCTAATATACCATTACAATAGGTAAAAAAATGCATTCTATTGTAATAAGTGTGTATGATACATATGTATTTTTGCCATGTGCATGAATGAAACTGTATTTTTGTAAGCATGTACAAGCTTATTTCTTAAGAATTTGAGGTGAATTTCTTGTGATTCCTTAGCTTTAAAGTACTCCGATCTTACAGTAGATTTGACATATCACAGGAGTCTAATATTCCTACATGAATAAATATATTTTGATTTGATTTGACATGTGTGAATTTTTTATTTAAATGTGTGTATATCTATGTCTTATATATACTTACATAATACATCCTTATATGGTAGTTTCAGTTACTTAACGCAATAGGTTTATTTCCATGTACGGGGCTTTCCCGCTTATTATGGGCGTACATTTTAATGAATGATGATAAAACGATGATCACACTTACGTCAATTATACGCGTTGACGGGACTTCAGTGAAGGATCTGCTTTATATCAAATTTAGTAGTAGCCAATTCATCAGAAAATAATATTAGTACTTAAAAAACTTTGATATTAGGAACTGTTGTAATTTTGTAATGGATTTGTAAAGATAGGTGACACTGCATGTTGTCAACTCACCTGGCCGGCCAGCGGTAGTTCTGGGCCAGACGGATAAGGTCTGCATCGGTGCCACTGTTAGGCAAATTGTAACATCTCGGCTGGAGGCTCCTCTGGAGTTGTACAAAAGTGGACATTAAAGAAATATAATAATATTAAAGTAAATTAAAAAAGGCACGGACAATATGTATGTGGAAAATTGTATTTAAAAAAAAAATTGTATGGATGATAATGGAGTGGCGCACCGGCCTGCACTAACGGTTTACACTAGTTGGGCACCAGTGGAGGATGATAAGATGAGCCTGAGGTCAAATCAGTTAGCCCATTGTGGTAAATTCCCCATAAATTGATCACTTGAAGTCAACCTAACATGGTACATTGCTAACAATGGGGTTATTAGTTCATATTACTAACCATCCCCATTCCCCAATGGATGCTTTTAGAACATCATCATTGGGGGAAGAGATTGTTAGTCATGGAGAGTAGAGAGTCGTTTGTTATGTGTCCCTGGATATACTTGGGATTATTTTTGATGAATTGCCACGATGCACTAATTCATCTGGATTTATCATTAGCCATCATTAGCATATTATAATTAAAAAGCATGATATCAGTCCTCCAAGATCGCAATGTTTTAGTTCTGTCACGGACTTTCCTGGAAATTTTTTTTCAGACTAATGTTGTTGCAATTCTGTCTAATCGCAATTTACAACTATGATTTCCAGGGTACCCGCGTGGAGGTCAACATGGTACATTGCTAGCAATGGGTTTCGAGCACATTACTAACAATCCAACAAGAGCTTATTTGCCATTCCAATTACATGGAAAAAATGGCAATATTCTCCTTATTAAATGGCATAGACTTTATTAGAGCTTGTCACGCGGCCATATCGCAAGCCATATAGTATAAACTGGCCAACGTACGGACGGAAAACGTGAGTACCGTCGATACTGATAAAAGCAATTAAGTGCAACTATTTTAGACGTCACGCGTTGTTTGTGATGCTAAAATTGTTCTAGTTAATATTATAATAGCAAAAGTTAGTTTATATGTTTGTTTGTTACGATTTCACGATTTCACTGCTTACATATATACATATATAAAGAATGCGGAATAACAAACTAGATATGGGTCACTTTTTATTTCTATCTTTCATAGTCACTTTTAAGTCATTGAGAAGCATTAAGATAATTGTAACAATATAAAATAATAATCACATCTTATTCCAATATTGATCGTAATAAAACAAAGGTAATATTTTTGTTAGATATTAAATTTTAAATACAGCTTCGTAACGTTTATATAAAGTGAATTTGAATTGACTACAGTGTGAAAATACCTATGTATATTTTAAATATTATCCTGTTCTAAACATATTGTTCATTAAAATTGCTGACTAAATCTCTGTTGTTGGAAAACACAGATTACAAAACAATTTGCACTTGAATAATACAAGTTATGAAGGGGTGAAGGGGATTGTTAGTAATGTGGACTTATGACCCCATTACTAGCAATGTACTGTCAGGTTGACCTCCACGCGGTTCCCCCTGGAAACCATCGTGATAAATTCATGGCGAATTTACCACGATGGGCTAACTGACCTGACCTCATGCTCATCTTGTCATCCTCCACTGGTGCCCCGCCAGCGTAAACCGTTAGCGCAGGCGGGTGCACCATTCCACTATCATACACAAAAAAAATACAAGTTATGCAGGGAAAGGGGGAAATAAGTAATATGAAAATCATCGTGGTGAAATGACAAGATGGACTACACCCTCATTTGCCGTCTGGAAACCATCATGAGAAGGTCCTGGTCAATATGTAAGCTAACTGACCTGACATGAAGTCATTTTATCATCCTCCACTGGGGGCACCAGTGTAAACCGTTAGCGCAGGCGGGTGTACCATTTCATTAACATTAATATGAAACAAAAATACAAGTTATCCATTCACCACACAGATGATTTATATTGCCTCTGACTACCCCTCCCAGTGTTATAATTGTGAGTACACATATATTATTATTATAAAAGGCATTCAATCCCAACAGTATGATTGTAATAAGTTAGTACATTTACCTTCATTGTTGTTTTGTTTTGTTCTTCTATTATTTTGGTTGTCTTAGTTATTCCTTTATCTTCTCTTATATTAATAATATTTATAAAAATGTATATATTACAATAACGATATCCAAATTGTACATCTAATGAAATCATAACTTCACAAATCCGTTTCAACTCTGCTGAAGCGAGCTTAAACCACAGGCGCAAACGCTGAAGCATAGAGTACATCAAACAGATTCTAAATTTAAAAAAAAAGTTATTACAATAAGTAGGTAACACGGGTAACACATACCAGGTATAAGTAGAAACGCCATAAAAGCGTCCATTGTTTGAATGCAGTGCTATAACAATAGGATTATTGCGATATCTCATGACTGAACCACGTGGAGATTTACCTGTCTCCGCGCTGACTCATGGCGGTCGTAACAAGTATTTACCGCCAGGCACGACATCGAATCTTGTGCGAGTAAATGACCTTACTCATTTACTCGCGCAAAACCATCGCGCGCGCACGTTAATACTGCGTAAACGAATTTCTATCGATTATAATCGATTCTAGTGTGCTTTTTTAATTAAATAGTGTT